GTAAACTTTGGGTTTATATAGAGAGACGAGACAGAAAGAACAGACTCGAGTTTTTCGTTTTTCGGGACTCTTAAGTCCCAAAACAAAGTAATGTGTAGAGTAAAATTTTTGTGCAGCGATTTGTGAATTATGGGTAAATATCTTTAACTTATTTTTAACGTGTTTTGTTTCATAATAATTAATTGATTTACATATAAATATCAGTTTTACATTTTCGTCCCGATTATCATATTTATCTTATACATATTTTTATATTATTATGTAGTTATTATTGTTAATAAGTCCAAACTATATAGTTCAATTAAGTGTTCATCTAGTGACATAAATCTGTATTTAAAGTTTGGATATATTATCAAATATTGCTTGATTCCCTAATTATAATTTGAGTAATTTATTCTTTAGAATACTAGTTACTTTTGTACTTATTTTAAATAAACATTTGTTAATTTTTTAATAGTTATTATTAATCTTATCTCCCCCTTTCAAAACCAGGCAAATATTCCGAGCATTTGAGAAGCCTCTGCGTTTCTATTCCCTTGGGACTAAAATAGTTCCTAATCTACTTGCCAAGAACCGCTCGACTTTGCTATTTAGGGATTATTTTTTATTTTTTTTTTAATTTAATTTTATTATTTTTATTTGCCACTGGGGAATTGATATTTTTTCTGGACTCCAGGACCCTTTGGCTAGTGACAGTACTGCCTTAATCCCTTAATAGTATGTTAACAACAGTAGCTAAGAACCTATTAGTAGTTACAAATGATCTCTAGGCTAGTTGGTTGTTACATGTGTTTGATATCGATTTTTGTCTACAATTTAGGTTTGCTTTTTTTTGGTTCCTTCTGGGCCATCTAAGATTTTTAGGGTGCCTCTGGCCTTCTTTTGTGGGTATTCTCTGACATTGTGGTGCTACGCTTTCAGATTTATCTTATGGGTATATCTGACACCAGACTGCTGTCGTCCAGAGTTGACTATTCTACTGATGCAGTTGTTGAGCTCCATCTCGATGTCAACCAGTTGCACGCGCAAGTTATATTTATAACAGTTATTTGTCATTTTTACAGTCAACATAAAAGCATATTATTATAAAAACACATAAATTAAAAATATAAATTAAATTTTAATATTTTTAATATTTTCATTTACAGGGTGTCCCAAATTGTTTTACCCAGGCTATAACTTCTAAACCATGCAAGATAATCGAACCGGACAAAAGTAATCCATTATAATTGGCGGTGTACTTTTAAACAAATAAAAATTTAATGACCAACTTTTAAAAACTACCCCCCCCCCCCGGAACAACCCCCTCAAAAATTATTAACGACACCTTTATTTTTTTCTGATCATTTTTATAGTTGCTACTTTTCTCTGTACAACTATTTTTAAAATTTTGAAATCGCTCCATAAATAAGTGAGAAATTAAATAAAACTGTATGTCAAGTTGATGATAAAAATACTTTATTAGGTGACACATAATTAAAAAAATACATTGAAACAAGAGAAGGAGAAGACAAGAAATAAATATCAACAAACAAAGAGTAGTAATAACTTATAATAAGTGCTCAGCTTGCCCACTTCCACACATTTGTCAAACCTTAACAATACATTTCTAGTTCAGGCAGCTCGAATCATGGCCGGTGTAAATTTGTGATAAGCATGTCTGATTCTATTTTTTAAATTTTCTAAGTCCTCTGGTTTTGTTCCGTATACTAGGTCCTTTATAGTACCCCAGAAAAAAATCTAGAGGTGACAAATCAGGTAACCTAGCCGGTCACTGGATGATTAGAAAATGCGTGGATATAACACGGTTTCCATAAGTGTTTGCCAAATATTGGCTCACAATTTGTGCATTATGAGCTGGTGCACCATCTTGCTGCCACCACATATCACGTCTTTGATTAAGAGGAATACCTTCCAACAAATCAAGGACGGTATTGATTAAAAAATCACGATATCCTATTCCCGTTAGAGTATTTTCATAAAAATGAGGACCTATAATCCTACCATTGAACAAATCACACCACAGTGAATCAGCGAGTCTGTGTGGCGCTATGAAGGTGATTCCCGAATAGGGGTTGCTCAGGCGCCAGTTTTGGTATCGCAGTTTGCTCTGCGACCCTGTGGTACACCAGAGTGTACTCAAGGTGAACTCAGTGGAGGTAAATAATTCCAGGCAGTCACTGCTAGGTAGCCACTACACTAGAATAAATAAAAATAAAACACTTATCTCCTTTACACTTCGTACCCTGCGGTACCATGAAAGAGAACGGTTAAGAACCAGTAATAAGAGAAACAGGAATTGGTAATAAAATATATATTTAAAAAAAATAATACAACGGTAATTAAACATGAACGGCTCCCTATATGCGGAAAACTTATTAAAAATAAATTATTACCAATGAAAACTAATTAAATATTAACGGTTTAAAGTCTCTCTCATGTAGACATCTGGTAGTCCATAGCTTCTACAAGAGAGAAACCCTTTCCACGAGCTGTTATAAAGACTAGGGGCTGAAACAGCTCTGATTATCGACGGGGGAAGCAAGCGAATACCGCTATCATCCCCTGATTAACGCGAAAATGGATGAAGGGTGCGAGTGCCCCCGGATTTAAATCCAATTTACATTATTACCTTGTTAGGTACTAAGGAAATTAAAAGTTCGTATTACCTCTTACTAGTACGGGAAAATATTAACGGTTCGCTAGCACAGGAGGCCAAGCGGTCCGGGAATTATAATACTCCCTATATACGTAAAATTTATTAAAAATAAATTAATACACACGAAAACAATTTAAATATGACGGTAATCAAATGCAAGCAAATAAATGAAATCAAAGTTTTCGGAACGTCCCTGTATCTTAGACCAGACGGATCGACGCTCTGGCAATTATTGAACGAGAATGATAATTTTCAGCGCGATGTTTGGGACAAAAATGCGATGGTTAACGTAAACATTATTTTGAGATTTGCCAACAGTTGATCAAGATTAATAATCAATAATTAATTGTTGACGGGAAACGGAAATATAATTGAATGAATAAATAAAAGAAAAGAGAAACTTACATGAAATACTGGGTGCTTCTTATAAAAAAAATTGCCAACGATTTCCCACTAAGGGATGAAATGAAAAATGCTGGGCATGAATTAAAATTATTTCACTAGTCGGACGGGTGTCCCAAACTAATTGTAAATAAATAAAAAAAAATAAGCGATTTCCTACCTTTAGAAAAATAAACGGGGTTGTTCAATATTCTTTCGATATTACGGTCACTCACTAGGCACTATAGATGGGTCAATAGTTTTCGGCTGACGGCAATCAAGAGAGTGTAATTCCCAGATGTCATTAAATTTATGCTTTTCGGTAAACCCGAGTGGAGGGATACCACTACTACAGCCGACTGTTTACAATTTAAAGATATAAAAAATGTCCTTCTAGTACCTTGACAAATAAAGGTAAATAATCGGTACGAAATCGACTCTACACAATGCACATTCAGATTTCGGCAAATATAGGAATATTTTAATCTACGAGGGTACTCGCAATTGTTGAAAAACGGTAATTCCTGGGAAACAGAAATACGGGGGATCTTCTACATGTTCTCAGGCGGGAATTAATTGAAATATTAATACCCCAAATATTTTGAAACCTTCTTTTTCTTACCCAGTGGGGGATTTGTGTCGGGGACTAGTAATTGACATTATGACGATTTAATACACCATTTTTATGGAAACGTGATTCGTCGCTCCATAATATTTTATCTAAGAAAGTCATTTAGTTTCGCCTGCATTCTAGCGAGAAAGTCTAAGCGTCTTTCAAGATCATTAGGGTGTAAACCTTGGACCAACTGTATTTTATAAGGATGATATTTATTGTTTTTTAATATTTTTTCGATGCTACTTTTGCTTATTCCAATTTCGAGTGCCAAATCTCTGTGGATCTACATGAACGTAAGCCAAAACGTGTATATTATTTTCTTCATTTCTGATCATTCTGTTGTGTTCTCCATGATGTTTACCGTCAGGGAAATGTCCTTGTCTAAGACTTCTTTCTAAATTGAAAAACGTTCTAACTGAGAGAATTGTTCTATTAGGAAAACGTTCATAGAATAATTGTCTAGCTTGTCTTGAATTCTTGCGACATTCGCTGTAAATACTTATCATATCGGTGTACTCGTTGGAACTAAACACAGTAGGCATTTTGAAATAATTTGTTAGGACTTGACAAACTCTAAATTATTGCAAACATTATCAAGTAAAAACTGCTAATTTTATCGAGTATTTAAGCTGCACTTCTGTTTGACAAGAGCTAGATTGATATAGTATTGTTTATAATGTCTCCTCGTTTTATTTTTCCATGGCCTAGACCTTAGGAAATTTACGTGAAACAAGGATTCCAAATCCGCAAAAATCATCGAGAACCGTCAATACAAAGTGAAGTTATAGCTTTTTAAAAATTTTGTTACCCAAATTTTATGTTTAGTAGTGTGTACAAACTTAAGGACTTTAATTCAAAAACTGACAAAAATGTCTACAGATATTGATGTTACCCTAGTAACGACCAAAAAAATTTTTTGCGAAAATTTCACTCGTACAAACTTTTTGATTTTTTGCATGACTTCATAAATAATAAACCTATGGTCCTACGATAAATATATGTCATGCAGCTTAAGCCAAAAAAAAAAGACTAACTCTTAAAATCTGTAAGCCGTGTTCAAAACATTTACATTCCTGTTAAAAATATTGAATGTTAAATTTTTCCAAAAAATCTCTATGTGCAAGTTCGAGTGGCCAGCAGTTTAGTTCTGTAATACTGCGCTTATTTTGTGTTGTTCTTAGCTAATGTTCTTTTTTATAAATTTTGTTCTGTAAACATTTTTTCATCTTTTATAAAACATAAAATTGTTACTTGGGACGCTACTATCAAGCCCTCCAGGTTTTTCAGTTAACACTATATAAAAATAAAACAAAAGCAAAAAAGGAATACTGAAAAATATAGCATACACCACAAAACTTAAAAGCAGTTTTTTTTCATGCGTTTCTTTAACTGTTTCAATGCAAAATATTTTGAGCTGAGCTTCCAATATTTTCATCCATAACTACTCCCAAAAAGTGGCATACTTAATTTTCTTAATTATTTAGACATATTTTATTGGGATTGTCTTATTTGTTTCAACTGTGTTTAAATAAAATGCAATTTTTCTTAAATATATTATTTGGAAATGGGCAAATGGAGCAAACCCAAAATCATACAAAAATTTCTAATGCCATTCAGGCAGCTTGAAAGTAAAATACCAGAGAAATAATTAAACAAAATAGTATTTTCAAATTCATTTATTTATTAATTTTATTTAACCTTACTAAAATGGGATCCTCAGTTTTTGCAACAAAAGTGAGTCGATCAAATCCTAATGGTTCTTTAGAGTTTGGACTTAGGGTGATTTTGTAATTTCTAATTAATTCCGCCACACCCAGCTTCGCCTGCAAAACTCCGAGCCTTGCTCCTGAAATACAATATAGTTTATAATTTATTAACATTTTAAAAAAATTGTACTTTAACTAAATAAATATGGGACAATTTAAAAACTTACAATATCTCATAAATTTAGGATTTCTTTCATTTAGTTTTTTTTGGTGGTATCTTCAGCATTTTATTTATTTTATTTTATTATTACTAACCTATACAGTTTCTAGGTCCTTCTCCAAATGGAAAAAATCCTTCGTATTTAGCATTTTTGTCTTCAAATCTATTAGGATCAAATTTCTCAGGATCTGGGAATAGGTCTGGATCATGGTGCCATCCTATAACTGGTAAAATGACGTTAGTTCCTTTTTCGATGACTACGTTAGAGTCCGGGAATTGGTAGTCCTTAACACAGACCCTACGGAGTGACGGCACTAAAGGATATTTCCTCATGGTTTCTGAAAAATAAATTATTGCTCATTTACTGGTGTGATTTTTTTTTTCAAATTTTCGTTGAGAAACCGTTCTTACCGTTCATTATTTGAGTAAAATATGGCATTTCATTAGTGGCATCATATGTTAAGTCTCCATATTTTGAAATAGTCTCATTGATTTCCGCTCTTAGTTTTTCCTGAACATCTGGATTTTTACATATTTCGTAAAGCATAAGCGAAGAAACTGCTGATGATGTTTCGAAGCCAGCAGTGAAAAATATGAACGACTAAAAATATTAAATTTGTTTAAAATATGAGTACTTAGTTGTTACAACAAATCAATTAATAGAAAACACATGTTACAAAAGTTGTGGACAAAAAATTCAAGACCGATTGTATAAATTGTATAAATCACCATCAATTACTATGAGTAAATTAGAATATCTTTCTGATATTTCCATTAAATATTGCTGTAAACTCAGTTTAGCTAACAGGAGTTTAATTTTTAACTGGTTATATTCAGTACAAATTTCATCTTTAAAACTATGTTTTAACAATAAACGATGAATATACAACGAGGTTCACATTTTAATTGTCTATTGTACAACCCGTCCTAAGAAAAACAATGGAAATAACATGGAATATTATTAAATTCTCCCATACATAATAAATTTGGTAAATTACCTGCCCAATTATTTCATTTTTGGATAGTTCAATTCCAGAATTTTTCATTTCGATCAATAACTGTAGGAAATCCGCTCTTTGTATGTTGTTCTTTATTCTGTGATCTAGAGCATCAGGTACAAACTTTTCGAAGAACTGTTCAATATCCGGTTGGAAGCTACCTATGTTAATAAATTTGGCAAATTTGGGGTAACATATGGTTAAGAATAACCCAATTCTGAATGGGAAACTGAAAGTTCCGAACAGCTCTCGTCCTAATTTTCTGAAAATGGCGTCTGGAGATTTGAAACTGTTGGCATCAACTCCATAAGTTACTGATCCTGAAAATTAATAATAACATAAAACGCGTAAAAAAATGAGAATGCTTAAATATTATGAATTTATTTCACACAAGGCATCTGTTGTAAGACTTTAACCTATTATCGTTCGTCAACACATTTTTCCTAAACCACACCTGTGATTTATAGAAACCTTAAACTAGGTAATAAAGAGAGGACTCATAACGTCGCTGATAATTTTGTTCCAATATGTTCTAAGGTGTGCTCGATATACTTGTTACGCGTCCTCTCTTTATTACCTAGTCTTAACATAGAAACAACTCGTAATGTCATGTCATTTTTAGTCACATCGTACAAATTACTAATAGATACTATCATGTGAGCGCTTCCTTGTAGATGATTGGTCATAACCCAACCGATGCCAATCTGCGTGGTTTCGCTTCGCCTTGGCAGAATACAGTTCTCACTCAACCGAACAACATCTTGTTTACTTGTTTATTAAATAAGCGTGTCTTCGCCATGTTGAAATATGTTCTTTAGGGTTAAAATTACAAAATGACCAATCTGTAATAAATTTTTTTGAGCAATAGTGCTTTAATAAATTTACAAAAATGCAGTCTAGTGTTGTATTATAAAAATTATACTGCAGAATTTAAAGTTTAAAAGGAGTTTTATTAATATCGGCGATTTTTATAACATAACCAACTAATCAAAACCAAAAATGTAAGTGAGAAACATATCAATCTCATACAGCGTTGTTTTTTATATATACATACCTATTACATCGGTAAAAAAGCAAGCCATAACTTCGTAAATATCAATATCTGCATTTCCATCTTTCGCTATGATTTCCAAATTAGTTTTTAATTCATCACTGCATTTTTTCATGGTGTTAAAGAAGAATTTCATTTTGGCAGCTGTAAATATGCTTGTAAATTTGGCCTACAAATAAATAATAATAACTACAAAAGTGAATTACAAAGTATTTTCAATCGATCGTATGCTTATTCAATGAGGGGTAACAGACGAAGTTTCACCAGCAGGTGACGCTACTGAAACCTGAGGTGGAAATTAAATGTCACTTTCATATGAATGGTGTGTGTGTTTTATGGAGTGTAGAGGTAAGGAGAACTATCTATGTTTACAAAATCAATGAGGTTTAATCACATACTTTGATTACTATACGGTGCAAGAGAGAGATCCGACACGCCCAACATAGGGCGCGGCCATTTTGATGCCTACCACAGTTTATAGCTAAAGAATCTGTTCGCTCACTCTACGTCGGCACTTTTGATCTCAATGTTCCAGTTTATACACTGCGCAACTCGGATAATACAATATATGGCAACCGCCTATAATAAAACAGCAGTCTTCTGCGCATCCTGAATTTGTATCCCTGGAGTGGATGTTATTTTGGAACTTTCAACTGGTTCGAGTGAGCTAACTGATTCTTTAGCAATAAACTGTGACTCCAAAAATAATTATTCACTGACACTAACAACGGCAAGCAACATATCAGGTGCGTTTTAATCATCCGCTTCTGCTTCCGGAATTGTCAGTTTAGTCGTTTTAACATGTCAGATTAAAACAAGAAAACCGATAATTCCGAAGCAGAAGCGGATGATTAAAACGCACTTATTAAAAATATTGCGCCAAGATGTAGGCAACACGTAATACGAGGATATATCAGTATATAACGAGACTGGTGCTATAACTTCGTTCAGAGGTAACATTTTATGACCCAAAAAATGAGACATGAAAGCCTTATATTTAATGTACTACCCCGCAAGTAGGCTTTGATTTAATTTTTGACATTTGTTACAAATTAATTATTGAATTGTCAGTGTTTTGCGTACCCATCGAAAAATGAAAGTGGAGCAAAGATACGCGATAAAATTTTGTGTTCGATTGGGTAAAACACCAACTGAAACTTTTGAAATGATTAAAGGTGCATATCTAGATAATAATTTATCACGATGTAGAGTGTTTGAGTGGCATAAAACGTTTAAAGACGGTTGTGAATCAGTTGAAGATGAACCTCGTCCCGGTCGACCACAAACTGCGAGAAATAACACAAAAATTGCAGAAATTAACGACTTGATACAAAATGATCGCCGGATTGACATAAAACGAATTTCTGACAATGTTAATTTGTCTTACGGTACCACTCAAAAAATTATTCATGAAGATTTAGAGTACCGGAAGATCGCGGCAAGATGGATTCCAAAAGTGATGACCGATGAACAAAAAGCGAATCGAGTGACAATTTGTTAGCAGTAGAAAAGGCAATTGCAACGTAACCCACAGTTTTTAAATAATGTGGTTACATGTGACGAAAGTTGGTTTTATCATTACGATCCTGAATTGAAGTCTCAAAGTATGCAATGGAAGCATAAAGGCAGCCCAAGACCGCAGAAGGCCAAAACTGCTAAAAGCGCTGGTAAAGTGATGCACCTGATGTTTTTGATAAATTTGGCGTTATTTACGATCACATTGTACCTAGAGGACATACAGTAACAGGGGAGTACTATTCTAATGTACTTCGAGGACCCTTAAAGGGAAAATTAAAGAAAAAAAGGCCGCTTTATCAGGACTTTGGCTGGACGCTGCATCACGACAATGCTCCGGCTCATAGATCAATGATTTGTCAACGAACAATTGAAGAATTAGGGGTTGAAATTATGGTTCATCCCCCCTACTCTCCTGACCTTGCTCCATGTGACTTCCATTTGTTTCCTGAAGTCAAAAAAGAATTGAGAGGTAGAAGATTTGAGTCGGATTTAGAGCTCAACAACGCTGTGATGGGTATACTAAACAGACTATCAAAAAATGGTTTCTCAGAAGTTTATGATAAGTGGATAAAGCGATGGAATAAGTGTATTCAACAGAATGGAGAGTACTTCGAAGGATAGTTGTTGAATTTTTTTAAATAAATGTTTCGTTGTTATACTATAGCACCAGTCTCGTTATTTTCTGATACATCCTCGTAAGGCATCAAAATGGCGGAGTTTTCTATCTCCTTTTAAAAGGCACTCAGAAAGCTGCGCAGTGCGACCATTCTCCGTATAGTAAGAGAAAATTAAAGTATGTGGGTTTAATATTATAACGGGTCATTATTGTCGAGGCAACACGGTATACAGTTGTGTATTTTGTGTTTCGGTCCTCATGAAACCAATTGGTCGGAGATGGAACCTAATTTTTATATTGAACACAGACTTATTTGTTGTTGTCGAACATGAGTTTAGAGTATTGACCATGTCAATTATGTCAAAAGTGATTGTCAATGTTAGCTGTCAATGGAGGTTTTGTCAAAATTCGGTTATGCCAAGCATGTAGGGCTTTTAAGGCAGGAAAATGAAATGATATAGTTTATTTTCACTGTGTTTGGGTAAGCTTTTACTAGCCAATATGGGATTATGCAGTGAACTAATAAAATTGATTTGGAAATTTGTGTTTGCGAACTGATAAACTAAACATAGTTATTTCTTTTTAAAAAACTTTGGTCAAAACACAATTATTAAATTTGGTATAAATGTAAGTTAATGTAAAAATTTCTAAGGGCCAATTCCATCGTTGTGTTAAAAGATGTTTAAATTACTAAACAATAATTAAAATTACATTGTTAATATAAAAAATGTCTTTTAAATCTTCGTTTAGTAATTTAAACTTCGCTTAACACTACAGTGGGTTACTGTAAACAACACGGACACAACAATTTTTACTATTTTCGCTATATTCGATGTATTCTTAATGAAAATTATACTACTTACTATTTTTGATTAATTTAACTGCGGCAAAACCAAAATAACTAAAATTAATATAAAAATATTGTGTATTAATTAGAAAATAAACCATTTTTTTGATATAACCTCAATTTTCTTTAACAAAATCTCTATTATTTTCTATAGTCATGTTGCCAATTTTTTAAGTGCCTGTATTTGATAAAATATCGGACACTCGTTAAAACTATCGATGGGAACGTACGGCAAGCGAGTGTCAATTACATGAAAATTATTAATTTATTTCGTTTCAATTCCTAAAAAACTTTTATTTTTAATTTCCAGTCATATCTGGCGATTTATACATTCTTTTTGATTGTATTGTAGTACATATTGACTAAATATTAAAATTACATCATATTTCTTTTCAAAAACTTTTAAACTTAATTACTTTGTGAAATCCAAGTTTTTAAACTTTCTTTGAAATATGAAATTTATTATTTTATTCATTGTCAATCAACGACTTTAACAATTAAAGAGGATAGCTGAATTCGTTCAATTTCTGTTGAGTCAGCCGTCACGTGACGTCACCCACTTCATGCTTTCAACGGTTCAGCCGGAACTTATTTAAAATATATATCAATACAATACACTTTTTTTATTATATTTATTTTTAAACTAAAAGATATTTCAGATATTCAAAAAAAAAAACATCAATTTAACCAGAGAAAAAATTACAAAAATCCTAAAATTACAGAAGTAAGTAAAAATTTTAATATTGCCGCCATGTTATCTAAAAATATTTCTGAAATAATACATATTTATGAAGTTTGACATGCTATTTATAAGATAGAAGTCAAAATTTATATACAAAGTAAACAAAAGTTAATGCAACTTACTAAAATAAAATTTCTGATAGGTTTTACAATAGTATATTATGCAACGATCATGTAATGATAGCCATTAATGTTGTAGGATACGAAACGGGTCGCAAGCGAGTGTATTAATGGCCACTACATGAGAGTTGCATACGCTATTTTTTCTACTTCCATTAATAAAACATTCTCTGAAAACACTCATATATGTTTGGTGTTTCCCCAATCCATAAATTGTCTATATAATTTTTCATAGGTTTTGTTGGACTTGATCGGTAGTACATTATTAACTGTAACTGTGGCCCTTTCTCTAATTTCTAAAGGTGTAAGTAGTAATTCTTTGTTATCACTCAATATTTGTATAACTCAATCAAAATGCAGGTAAAGGTATTAAATTTAAAAAAAAAAAAATAAAATATTTTGAAAGCTGTCAAAATAATTGCCAAAAAATAATTCGATTCTATTGCCTGGAAAATTTGTACTGTCAAAATAACTGCCTACTTCGCTAAAGATAATTTTATTCTATTGGCTAATCATCTGTATCATAATGAGGTTTATTATGAAAGTGGTTTTAATCTTTTAACTAGTATATTATAAAATAGGAGTAGAAAAAAAAGTTTTATGAAATTATTCAAGTTATCAGTATATGTTAATAGGAGATATACTGGATTGGCCATTATTCCAAAATTAAGCAAGAATATATTTTTCCGTATTGTATTAAACTTAAAATAGAATCATTAAAACTGCATTGTGCTAACATTATTAGCTCGAATACAAGGTGTAATAGAAATTGTATTCTTTTTAAATAAGGTAAATTTTTACAGATTTCTTAAATATGAGTTCATTAAAAAGATGTTTAGAAAACATGGCCATACCTTCTATTTACCTATTTATTTACTTCTACAATTTTCAGATGAGTTTAATTTTCTCTGTGTTAAAATGATCTTTTGAATATCTGATATATCTTTTAGTTTAAAAATAAATAAAATAAAACGTTATTTAAAAATAAGGTGTATTGTTGTACGTTTTAGATGGGATGGCTGAAAGTTTTCAGGAGTGACGTCACGCCGCGCCGGAATTCGTAGAAATTGAATGAATTCAGCTATCTTCTTTAGTTGATATAGTCATTGACTTTGGTTGACAAATTATTTGTCAGACTTATTAATTCTTAAAACTTTTGGATAACCCAAAATAATTATTGTTTGTTACTTTATAGATGACAAGTAATATTAATTTTTAGTTAATATGTACAATTTAATCAAAATGGATCAAAAGTCGCTAGATGTGATTGGAAATTAAAAGATAAGTACCTAGTGCTTTTTAAAGTGTTTGGAAATGTTACGCCAAAAATAAGGTACTTTATGGGGGTTCCGGTGGTAAATTTAAAAAGTACTATTTTTGCTAATGCCTCAAAAATGTAAGCGTAAAAAAATTGGATTATTAAAAAATATATATCTTCCCAATAATTACCTTTTCATGCGTGATGTGAGCATCGTTTTAATATGTATTCGATTCATAAAAATACCTAATCGATTCTGTTAAATTAATCTAGATTTGGTTATAAATTAAAACGTTTGACAATCACGCATATGTCTTACACGAAAATTAAAAATTCTTAGGTTAGAATCACCAAAATTCGTTTTAACTCAAATTTCTCTGTTATTTATACGCAATCCGGATTTTTTTTTGTTACTGCATATATGTACACTATTGGACAAAAGTGAAGCAACTTTTATGATAAATTCAAATATTTAATTATTTAAAATAACACGATCAACCGTGAGAATCAAAATTTATGTAGTTTAAGTGGTCATAATAGGCTGCTATGATAGGTGAAATGGGATTGTTTGCAAATGTCAAATAAGTTAGTATGTAATAATTTATTTCAACAATACTCTTTATTATCGCGACAAAAGTATAACAACTTTTATGAAAAAATTTTGTATTTCATTTAACAACTGAAAAATCACAAATATGGTTGAAGGGTTAAAACAAAATAAGAACAAATTCTTAATAATTAATAGGATATCCATTATTAGATATAACTTTTTGGCAACGGCGCGGTATTGATGAAATTAAGTTTTGGATAGTAATATCCGGCATATTAAACCAAACTTCATTAATTTTATCAATGAAGGACTGTTTATTTGGGAATCTTGTAGTCCGAATACGACGTTCAACCTCTTCCCAAAGGTTCTCAATGGGGTTGAAGTCTGGTGATTGGGCCGGCCACCTAAGAACCTGGACATTGTTCTCCTGAAACCATTCCTGAACAAGGTGAGACGAATGTTTCGGATCGTTGTCCTGTTGGAATATAAATTGCAAAGGCATCTCCCGCTGAGCATAGGGAAACATAACGTTTTGGAGTATGTCTCTGTAGACGAAGCGATCCATAATTCCGTCTATAAAATGTAGTGGGTCTACTCTGCTCCACGAAAAACAACCCCATACAAATACACTATCTTGTCCGTGCTTTATTGTTGGCGTAACATACTTTGGGTGAAATCTCATATTAACCGGACGCCTGACACGCTTCATTTCATCAGAATTAAAAATTTAATAACGACTTTCGTCGCTAAACAATACTTTTCCCCAATCTTGCACTGTCCAGTTCAAATGTTGTTGCGCAAATTCAAGTCTGGCAAGGCGATTTCTTTCAGAAACCAACGGTTTCTTGGCAGGACGTCTGCTATAAAGTTTCGCCTCAACTAATCGTCGTTGAACAGTCCTTGCACTGACTTCCAGTTCGGGAATTTCAGCAATTATCCTTGGTCCTGACAACCACGGATCTCTTTGAGAAATTCTTTTGATTTTCCTATCCATCCAAAATGTAGTTTTCCTGGGCCTTCCTGATTTCGGCATTTTTTCTACATGTCCTCTTTCATTATAACGTGAACTTATTTTTGAGACACTATATTTGGGCAAGTCGAACTGTTTGGAAATCGCAATCTTACTCTTCCCTTCTAAAAAGGCGTTTACGACCATTTCTTGTACCTCCGAACAGATTCGTTTTCCTTTTGGCATATTTAATTCTGTAAATATTAGAGCTGTTAAGCTTAATTTAATTGAAAAACGTCATTTTAGAACTTTACTTGTATCATAAACCCTTTTCCTGTAAACCAAATCAAAGAGTTGCTATACTTTTGTCGCGATAATAAAAGGTCTAGTTGAAATAAATTATTACATACTAACTTATTTGACATTTGCAGACAATCCCATGTCACATATGATTGCAGCCTACTATGACCACTTAAATTAAATTATTTTTAATTTCCATGGTTGCTCATTTTATTTTAAATAATTAAATATTTTATTTTACTATAAAAGTTGCTTCACTTTTGTCCAATAGTGTACATATATGCATTAACTACTATTTTCTAGTTCATTTTTTTCTCTAAATTCGTGTGTCCATTACGTTTACGGGCACCCAACAGTGAAATCGGCCCTAAATGTATTATGTTAATACTAAATTAATCCATATTAGAGTTTAAATCATCAAATTAATAAAGTTCAAAAAGAAATTGATTAACAGGAAAATTTCACTTTTCCTAAACGTTTTATAGCTGTTATCTACATTGAGTGTTGTTTAATAAATAATGTTCAGGAAATAAGTTATTTTATTTTATATGTACAATTCATTGATTAAAAGATAGTCTATATATAATCTTTAACAATAAATTTCATTCTTACATCTGGATCATAAATTAAAGCAAAAACCTGGTAAGATTCATAGTCACTTTGGTTTCCGATACATTTTTATAAAATATATATAAAATAGGGACCAACTGTTAAAATTCCTAAATTTATTTACTGACTTTCCTTACTGTATACAGGAAACTAAAAAGTATAATTTTAATTAGCTAGGTACTTAGTACGATTACCTATGCTTTATTTGTAAACATTTATATTTACTTTAGTAATACTACATTATTATTACTAAAATAACTCATTTGTACTACACGTTTCCTAATGGGTACTTTTAATTGATTCACTTACATTATTTTTTTCTCTCAGAACCTAATTAATTTCTGACATTTTTAGGTCATTAAAAATAGATACCGATTTAATAGGTACTTTTAATTAATACACAAATTATTCTTTTCTTTTAATAAATAAAATTAATTTATGGAAATTTTCAATTACCCATTAAAAGTAGGTACCGATTACGAAGATTCTTTTTTAAACGATAGTTTGTATTTAATTCAAAGGCGTTCGTAGTTAAGAGTCAGAACTGGCCCAAATCGGATTCCCGGGCGTTTTCGAGGTCGCTAATCACGATTATGATGTTTAATTTGGCCCACAGCCGATCTGAAGCTCAGGAACTCCGATGAACGTCATCTCCGAGGGACTCTCCCGAAATTCATGCGAGGAAGGAGAGAAACTCGACGCCCACGGGTTTTTTTTTGGGAATTTTACAGGACTGGATCAACTTTTCGAGGGCTCCAGGTGAGAGTTACACATCAATCAATGTGTGAAATTATGAGACGATTTCGGTTAGTCTTTTGCGATGTTTCTCTGGAAAATCCTCGGAGACGACGTTTAGCCCGAGGTTCCGGTACACCAGGTGTTGGGAGGGTCGTTTTCGACGTGAAATTTGGATTCAGAGCCCTAAAAAACGCCCCCACAATGATTTTTGGGTTGTTTTTTGGCGATTTTGTCAGGAAAATTCTCGGGGATGACGTCCATGTCCAGGTTCCGGCATACCAGGTATCTGAGGGGTGTTCGCCGATGCCATATTTAAATTCAGCAACCCACAAAACCTCAGGAGCTGAGTTTCTCTCCTTTCCCGCATGAATTGGAGTGTCCCACGGAGATGACGTTCTTTGTCGTTCCTGAGCTCCAGGTCGGCTGTGGGTCAATTTGAACATCATAATCGTGATCAGCGACCTCGAAAACCCCCGGGAACCCGATTTGGGCCAGTTTTGACTCTTTTATTTACAATGTTCTTTAATTTTCCAAAAGCCGTCTCAAAAAATGCAATATATTATAATTCAAAGTTCTATAAGGTTTCATATACCTATATCTACTATGATTATACCTATTATTAATAGTTTCTATGCATCAATAAATTTCAATAGTTTACTTATAATTTTATATTAAAACATACATTTATTTATACCGAAATTTTCTAATAAATTAAAAATTTGTAATAATTGTTCTAATTAATACTTAAATTAAAAAATATCTTAAAAATGTTTATTTACATTCTTTAAAATCTTCAAACAGGGTATTACGAATACTCATCTTCATAACCTCAGCATTTTTCGGTGAAAATTGGAAAATTTAATGTAATCAAATGTAAATTTATTTATTTATTTTTTTAAAATATCTAAATGTCATTAATTTCTTACTTATTCTTATTATCAGTAGTTTTCTTGCATTAATAAATTTAATACCGCATTTAATCAAGTTGTCTTTGGAAAAATGTATCCTCGAATTGTAGGCCATTTGTCAAAACGTCAAATTTTTTTAAAATTTTAATTACTTGAAACTTATGTATTAATTTTTGTTGAATTGACAGTTGCGATTAATAAAAATAAAGGTATAGGGAATCTTTATTAAACTAAGAATATTTTTAAGAGAAAATAATTTTATATAATATTCTTAATATAATATAACTTTATATTAGTATTCTGGTTTGGGACATCCTGTATATATAAAACTAATTTAAAATTTTAGCTGCCACTGAGTTATATATTTGTGCCAAAAGAATTTTTAAAGACACACCCTGTATATTATTAAAATACCATAAAATTTAACAAAATCCAACAACTCTTACCCTGGAGGTTCTCCATTCTTCTCCACCTTGCGTTAATATGTTCACAGTAAGGGGATTTTTTTTATTGTGAAAGATACCACGATCTAAAAAATGGGAGAAATCTTTACCAAAAATAGTTCTGGCGTATGTAACATCAATCACAACCAGATATGGATCCAAACCCAAATAGACACCTGAAAATAAAGAAAGAAAACTAAACCAAAACCAATGAAAAAAACTTCATACTAATAATTTTGTATAATATCATAAAAGATTTAATTTGGGGTATTTAATAAAAAAATAATTATTTGGCACATCCTTCACTATACTTACCACCTAATTTTTGTCCTTGTTTTTTAAATTCGTTATAAAAATCTTCAGAAATGCCTCCCAACGATATACCTTTTGGTAAATATTTGGAGTGATTGCCAAAAGGGAAAGTGGGAGGAAGTTGAGCAACACCCTTATTGGTCCAATAGCTATACTTATGTTTGATATAAAAATATGCAGCGATTCCAAGGGTTGTAATCGCTATGATCAGGTCGGTCACTAATTTGTCGGTTATAAACATTTTAGCTGAAACAAGAAAGACATATTCAGTTCAAATTGAAAATTATACATATGCAAGTTTATAATACTCTACGCGTAGGTTTATTTAAATTTTTTATTGTGTTTTCTTTGACTATAATAATTTGTAGTGGCGACTTGAAGACAAAATATCAGGTGTCTGTAAAAGGTCTTTACAAAAACATACCACATATTCCTTAGACCAAAATAAGTCGGTTTAAGTAAAATTACCTTAGTACAAAGTTGCTTCGTTTGGGCTCCAGAGGGCCTTGAAGTTACAATTTTTAAATCGTTTTTCTTATATAAATTTAAAACGGCATATGCGATTTTGCTGAAATTTGGTATTGTCACGTTATACGTGTTTTTATAAAGAAATGTCACGATTTACATGTTTTAAATAATTGTGGGACTATCTATGTCCCGGGGGTTACATAACAAAATATATGAATTTGGGACTCAATCACATTAACACTAATTAGCCTTAAACTTGGCTTCGTAGCCCTTAACTGTATAAGGGTTCTACTCTTGATGTTAGAACCTGACACGTCTCTGTAAAAGGGCTGAAGGAAACACAATGTTTTCTCAAAACAAATATAATATTATAATTACAACGATTATATAAAATATGTCTCAACTCGACCATACACAACTATAGGCCCAATATAATATTAAAGACAACAAAATACTTACCAACTCCGCTAATCTTTGGAGCACATGTCACAACCCTTAACAAACTATTTAAAAATGTAATTATTTGAAATACTAAAAAACGACTTTTAATTTAAACTATAAAGATTATGACCTGAAGCTGCTACAGGGAATCTCCTACAAGGGGGATCTCCTATAGGGAGGATCCGTTCCCTGTGGAAAAAGCCTCCTGCATCCCCTCGACATTACCTTTATAACTTTCTCATAGTTTATTGTTATTAAAACTAATGTTTAATAATTATTAAATAACCAACCTTGCACATTATTGCTATTTAAAACAAATTGTTGACATAATTAAACAAAGTTTTATGTACAGGATGTTATTTAAATAATTAATTAAAATTAGGAAAAATATGAATTTATACGAATCGTGACATTATATTGGTAGAGTTTTATGTGGCAAAAAAATGATATTAAAATTTTGTCCGATAATAATACATAGGCGTAGAACTTGATTTTTTAAATAATTGCACCTTTAAAAATTCTACGCCAATGTAAGAAAAGGAGTTTGAGTAAGAAATTTAGATTGCGCAACTCATTTACTTTAAAAAAGGTACTCTTGATAAGACTCGATTACTCTCATGGTTTTGACGAAATTTGCATTTTAGTAATTTTAGAACATAAACAATAATTATTAAAATACAAACTTTGTCAAAACCATGAGAGTAAATCGAGTGTTATCAAGGGTATTTTTTTGTAGTAAATGAGTACCCAATCCAAATTTAATATTCAAACCCCTTTTTTGCCATTGGCGTAGAATTTTTAAAGGGGCAATTATTTAAAAAATCAAGTTCTACGCCTATGTAATATTATCGGACAAAATTTTATACGATGAAAAACATAAAAATCTACTTTTTTAATATCTTCTTCAACACCTCTAATCGAGACTTTTAACAAAAATACTCGATTCTTACCATGTACGATTTTTTGTGGAATATTAATTATTTGCCTGCAATACGTATACAAAAACATTTATTGTTGGTTTCCATAGTTTCATCTAAATAAAGATATTGTCAAGTTTTAACACCTAATCTCTTGTTAACGATTGAAAGTGTTCTATCTGACTCAATAATTAAAAAAACAAATGCGTGGTTTATTAATATGGCTGTACAATATACCAATGAAGAATATACCGATATGTTACTGACATTAGGATTTTGTGAAGGAAATGCTCGAGAGAGTGTCAGGGTGTACTCTGAAAGGTTTCCAAATCGTCGTGTACCTAGCCACCCAACTTTTGCTGCTGTTGAGAGACGTCTTCGGGAGACCGGTTCCTTTGCTCCCAACACTAATGGAAGAGAATGTTTTGTAAGGATTCCTGAAGTTGAAGAAGACATTTTAGAACGTGTTGAAGAAGATCCAGAATTAAGCACAAGACGAATTGGAAGGGAACTGGGAGTAAGTAAAGACGTCGTTCATAAAGTGCTTAGAGAACAATTGCTTTATCCATACCATAAGAAGCCAGTACAATAATTATTAGTCCATGATCCTCAAATTCGTTTGGGTTTTTGTCGATTTGTTAATATGCAAAGAGAAAGAGATCCAAACTTTGTCAAGAAGGTTCTCTTTACCGATGAAGCGGGTTTTACAAGAAGAGGTATAAATAATACCCATAATGAACATGTTTATGCCGTTGAAAATCCGCATGCAATAAAGGTAAACCATTTTCAGCACGAATTCAAAATTAATGTGTGGGCTGGAATAATTGGTAATTTCATTGTTGGTCCTGTCATACTTCCACGAAGATTAACTGGAGAAAATTATTTGGATTTTCTACAAAATACGTTGCCAGAATTTACCTCTCCAACTTCGGAGAGATATGTGGTTTATGCAAGATGGAGCTCCACCACATTTTTCTTTAAACGTTAGAAACCACTTGAATAAACAATATCCACACAAATGGATAGGCAGAGGTAATGACGCACCTGTAAACTGGCCACCACGTTCCCCAGACCTAACACCGATGGATTACTTTTTATGGGGACATCTGAAATTCACAGTTTACAGGGAACCTGTAGAAAATGAGGAACAACACTGGCAACGTATTCAAGATGCAATAAACAATCTTAGAGGTGATGAAGAAGTTATGAAAAGGATACATTTTAATTTTCTTCGACGTATAAATCTTTGTATGCGTGAAAATGGTGAACATTTTGAACAATTTTTGTAAAATCTCTATTTTGATTATGTTGTAAATAAATATTTTTGTGAAACCTATACACTCTAAATTATTAAAACAGAAATTTAGCGAAAACCATGAGAGTAATCGAGTCCTTTTCTTCCATTGGCGTAGAATTTTTAAAGGTGCAATTATTTAAAAAATCAAGTTCTACGCCTATGTATTATTATCGGACAAAATTTTAATATTATTTTTTTTGCCACATAAAACTCTACCAATATACCAAATTTCAGCAAAATCGCATATGCCGTTTTAAATTTATATGGGAAAAACGATTTAAAAATTGTAACTTCAAGGACCTCTGGAGCCCAAACGAAGCAACTTTGTACTAGGTAATTTTATTTAAATCGACTTATTTTGGTCTAAGGAATATGTGGTATGTTTTTGTAAAGACCTTTTACAGACATCCTGTAGATCTCAGTACCAATTTAGGTAAAAAACTTTCAGTGTTTATATATAGTATACTTTTCTTAAACACTGAAAGTTTTTACCTAAATCTGTGCAGAGTTCTATATTCTGTCATTATGACCCCAATATTTTACTGATCATTTGTACTCATTGGCTAATCTTTGTAGAGTCCTGAAGATGTCTTAATCAGTAAAAGCGTTAGAATAGTTTTTAGTAAAGTGGAATTGTATTAATACAATTTCTTTTCTACACGCTCTACCAATAAGTTACCGTCTAGTGTGAGTGTGGTACAAAATAGTCCATTCTTTTTACGAATGAAGCTTCAAAGTATATTTTACATGTAGCGTTTAAAATAATAAACATTTATAAAATACTTTTTGCACTATATTTGTCTAACGAGCTCTAAAACCCAAAACTGTCCGCGATATTGAATGATTTATGTTGTATTGTAAAACAACAACCATATATTTGTAATCAGCGACTTAAAGAGCTTAACGCTCGTGTTTACATAGCTTAGATCAACAAAGAAATTTGTATTTAGTGCAAAAAAATGTTTTATTTAAAAAATGTAAAACGACCTTTGGCGTTACGCCATTTTCAGTGTTTATCTACAATAATTGCAGGTATAATACGTATTATCTATCTATATAAAATTGTTTATCCTGACTGACTGACTGACTGACCTATCAACATATAGCCAAAACTACTGAGCCTAGAAAGCTGAAATTTGGAACATAGATTTATTTTATAACGTAAGCATCCGCTAAGAGAGGATTTTTCAAAATTTTAACCTTAAAGGGGGGAAATTGGAGGAAATGGGGGGAGGGAGCTTTAAATGAAACTCTTTGTTCTTTAAAGTTAGAAACATGAAAATTTAAATTACAACTACTAAGCATAAATAAATAATGACGTGTTTCAGGGTTTTTCGATTTTCTCTTTTAAAGGGGGGAAAATGGGGGTGAAAGTTTGTATGGAACTATTGATTTTCTTTGTTCTCTTTAAAGTTAGAAACATGAAAATTGGAATTGCAGCTACTGACTACAAATTATTAATGACGTGTTTCAGGGTTCTTGGATTTTCGCATTTTAAGGGGGGTAAATGGAGGTGAAAATTTGTTTAATAGTATGTTTATATTTTTTTGTTATTTAAAATTTGAAACATAAAAATTTGAATTACAGTTACTGATTAAAGGTCAAAAGTGATGTGTTTCATGGTTTTTGGATTTTTCACATTGTAAGGGGGGGTAACGGGGGTAAAAATTTGTATAGAAGTATACATTTTTGGAACGTTGGAACTTGAAAATTATAATTGTAGCATAAATAAATAATGACGTGCTCTGTGGTTAGATTTTTGTATGGTAGTACCATAAAAATAATTATTAAAAATTAATAAAAATTAATAAAAATTAATAAAAATTAATAAAAATTAATAAAAATTAATAAAAATTAATAAAAATTAATAAAAATTAATAAAAATTAATAAAAATAAAAATTATTAAAAATTAATAAAAATTAATAAAAATTAATAAAGATTAATAAAAATAAATAAAAATTAATAAAAATTATTAAAAATTAATAAAAATTAATATAAATGAATAAAAATTAATAGAAAATAATAAAAATTAATATAAATGAATAAAAATTAATAGAAAATAATAAAAACTAATAAAAATGAATAAAAATGAATAAAAATTAATAAAAATTAATATAAATGA